ACACTGTTTAAAACTAAGCACAAGTAAAACTAGTGAAACAAGAACATTAAGGTTTTTTAACTCACAACTGATATTACTTCCTTCCATGATCGATAGATATAGATAGATCTGTTGCTGCACAACTGATATTACTTCCACTACATCACTGTAGTGAGTGGCCATTACACTCCATGTTCCACACCCTGATGACACTTTACACTTGTAAAACTTACTTTTCTGAAAAGTTCCTCAATGTCATCCTTATGTGCAAAGGTGTTGAACACCTCAACAATATACTGAATAAGAAAAGACCCACGATCTCTTTGTCTGTATGAGACAGTATCTGCAGAAAAAGATATGAAACAAAATTACTACATGAGGCAACTGTTCATGGCTGTTTTCACTTCAGATGCTTGTCTTCACTATGTCATGTATGATAAAATAACATATGGTGTTTTAGTTAAACTGACCTGGGGTGCTGGAAAGAAAAGCAATGAAGTCTTTTTCTTTGTGCACAGATCGCACACTGTCATCCTCTACGCCGTGTTCACAGCAGGTGTTGTCCTGCAGGAGCTCACTAGAACCACGCTCCGACACCTTTTTTTCTCTAAGAGGGGGAGACGAATATTTGCATATAATCAGATTAAAATTCATATCATTCCATTTTTGTGAGCACTTCAATATCTGATTATCAGTAAATCGCGTGTCCTGCAAGAGTACAAACAACGGGATGGTCTTAGTTGAGATAAAATGTATCATTGACCCAAACAATGCAGTGCACAGAATTTGCGCCAGCCAGTGTTTGCGTGTTGTTTCCAACAACACATTGATACCATGGATAGTTCACAGTGATACGGTTTAGTGTTGGATACAGACCCTGTTTCCAAAATACACGTGATACAACAAAACTCAGATCATCCAGATTGACAAACTAGAGCATAATCTCCAGGAGGGGCTGTGGAGACAAGCGTCAGATGCGACAGGCTTTACATTTAACTTAAGTGATGCTGGGATTTAAACAAAATGTTTTCCCTGTGCAAATCCTCCAGTCTTCCAATCAGTTGCTGGTGCCTAGATCCAGGCACCAGGCCTTTGCTGTAGCTTCCCCTAACCTGTGGCCCAGTCTCCTGTCTGCACTCTCCTCGCTCCTATAAACCTGTTTAAGGAGGCGTCCATTACCAGCACTGACTAGGGTTGTTTTATAGGTTTTATATGTGATGTTTACCTTTATTCATTGATGTGGTTTGTTTTTATTTAATTCTGTTTATTTGTTTCACGTTGTTCCTTCACTTCTATTGTGTATTTTGTAAAGCACTTTGTAACTGGCTTAGAAAAGTGCTATAGAAATAAATATTACTTACTTACCTGTCAATGGTCGGCCTACACGGTGAAAGCGGGTACAGGAAGTCGCGACTTTGAAACATGTTGACCAGTCTCAAGCTCCACGCACAGCTGTTGGTTGACATGTAGACAACATGAAGCAGGAGGAGGTCAGTGGACATTCAGTTTGTTTTGGAGTCGGTTTAACACTTCTGAGCAGTGAACATCTACTTTCTTATAATTTTAGTAAGCATTTTATATCAGCCATCAAAAA